AAACATTTTTCGTCTTTATCTATCCTCCTTCTTTTTTTTGTTTGTTATCGTTACTCTCTTGTAAGACGTCTAATCTTCGACACTTATATGACCTTATTGTGTTGCAAGTGCTGTAAAGCACTTACTAACACTAAAACAAACAGATTTCTCACGCATGGTCGTCCTCAAAGAGGTCCCGATCTCCCAAAGTGTTGAGGAGCACAACTCGCGGCTTCCAGATGCTCTTGGTTTGTGGGTGGATTTCTCTCATGCCCCCGTACAAGGTCTCATCCCACATCAGACGCTGAGGGCAGACAGAGATTCAGTCAGTAAGTAAATCGCTACTCCAGAATTTAGAAGTTTTGTCTGATCAGTATCTAGTTTTGAGAATCTTGACGTCAATAACTTTGAGTTTCACAACATGTCAAGCTTTTTAGAATGCAATTCTTTGAAGATTGTGATAACGACTCCGAATAATCTTACAATTTTGATAGAGTTGGTAGAGCATTTAATTTCTGACCTTCTGGTCTAAGTAACTCAAAACGGCCAAAAGTGTCAGAACTTTGTAATTTCAAGGGTGAAGAGGAGTGAGAAGGGTAGGGGTGCAGACGGGTCATATGTGTGAAATGAGGTGAGATGAATTGGAGTGAAGTGAGACGAGAGAGGCGAGGTGAGAAGAGATGGGAGAGGCGAGGCAAGGTTAGAAGAGTAGGGATGAAGTGACGTGATGAGACAGGAGTAGGTCTGGTGAAGTGAGGTGAGATGTATAGGGGAGACATGAGGTGAGGTGAGCAGGGTTGAAATGAGGAGAGGGACCCTATAGGAATGAGATAAGAATAGGTGAGACGAGATGGGTAGAGTCAGGTAAAACGGGTTGGGGTTAGGTGAGGCGAGACAGGTAGCGGTAGAGTGAGGTAAGACAAGATCGAATGCGGTGAGGTGAAACGGGTTGGGATAGAATGAGGCGAGACAGTGGTTGTGAAGTGAGGTGAGACAGGTAAGGGTGAAGTTAGGTGAGATGGGTGAGGGGAAATGAAGTGAAATGGGTAGAAGGTGCAGTGTGGTGAGACGGGTAGAGGTGAAGAGGGAAACGTGGGGTAGGTGGCATGGGTGGATTAACGAAAGGAAAAGTGAGATGAAAATAGGCCAGATGAGATGGGTAGAGTGTGATGAGACAAGCTGGGATGAAATGAGGTTACAAGGTAACTTTAGAAAAGCAAAGAATTTATTGAAGATCTTTTTTTGAAGTTCCATTATCATGTTAGCTTAGTGCTATTTCTTCTGGTGATGATGATGATGATGATGATGATGATGATGATGATGATGATGATGATGATGATGATGATGATGATGATGTGAAATGTGGTAACCGAACTGACTCACGAAGTCGTGCCAGAAGAAGGAAAGAAATCCGTTACACAGGAACTTCTGGTTGACGTCATTCACATCAACGA